GTCACATGATAATCTGTATTATATGCATTATAGAGCTTTATTATTCTCTTTAAATGGCAGATCCCTATTCATTTTTTTAATGTTAATAAATCCAAAAAAAATGGATTACACCAATGTCTTAGAACCTCAAAACACTAAGCTTATATCTAAATCATGTGACAGAAGAAAGATATCTGTCCTCAGCTGCAGGTTTATAAACATTTATATATACTGTATATAGATTACATTATATTTTGGAATCTCGTGATGGTCTGAAATGTTTTCTTTTTTTAAATATCAGAGAAAAAAAAGGTAAATATAGTGTGCCACATATCAAATAGTTACTGACCTTCTCAGGCTCTTCAAATATGGGCCATCATTGTACACATATTGTAATATCCAAAATGCACAAAAGATAGATTCAACTTACCGCAAAAACAGTGAACCAAGAGCTGTCATTCCCCACAGTACACAACACAATACAAGCAATAAAGGGATTTATTTAGCATCATTATTATGATATGGTTTATAAGATCCATGTGCACCAGCATGAGTTTTTTTTTTTTTTTAATCAAAACTCAACATGAAAAATTGTCATTTTAACAGTATACATATTACAAAAAACAATGACAAAACAAACTTTAAATTATAGGAAAAACATTTTCCTTTGTGCTAATGACCATCGATGAGGTTTCATCTATATAGACCCACCCTGATTTTAAGGTTTGTTAGAAAGGCAGAGGTAAAATGAGTTATCCTTTTAAATATGTACAGTATGTACTCATTCATATTCATGAGCACAAGGAAAAGCTGAGGCATATTCAGAATATTGCAATATTGCGAGCTCTCTACTTCTACTAAATAATAACAATCTGGGATAAGATGAAAAGAGACAGAATACACAAAATGGAATTGCAGAGTGTGAGAACAAAATACTTTTAAAACAAAATTAGGCCATTAGCAAATGTTTAAAAAAAAGAAGCAAAGAGAGGGACAAAAATAGTCAAACAAAGAAGTAAAACAGAACAAAAGGAGTACCGTGCCTGTCTGTGAACTCCATCAATACTATTACAATACTGCAATACTCTGAATTCATTCCTGACAGACGGCACCATCTGAATTCAGTTGTTCCACCTCTGGTGGTGGTCCAGGAATCAAATCACACCTTAACTACTTCCCCACTGGCCCCAAAAATTTCCATCGGTTTTTCCAGCGACCAAGTTGACACAGGTATTGCAGCCAGCAGAGGGTGTACTGATCATTTCCTAAAACTGTTGAGCGCCAAAGGAATAAAGAGTAAGAGAGGGTATTGGAGTGACGGTGAAGTTCTCATTCTATTAAATCGTATTACAGAAGAACTCACATTTTTGAGGAACTCCTCTGCAACTATGCGAGCCCTGGCGTTGACTGACAGTTTCATCTCACTGATTTCCTTATCGATCTCCTCCATAAAATTGATGACAAAGTCCACTAACTTATGCTTGTACATTTGTTCTGTGTGGAAGTTAGTAATGAGGAAACTGATGTCATATCCCTGACAAAAAAAGGAAGGTGTTAAATGTTATATTAAATGTGAACATTTCACAACAGAGAATTTTAGGACAGCTCTGTAAACAATCAGTGAAAAACAAAATGGCACATGCATTGCAAACACCAGGCTTTTTAACAATAGAAATAGTGTTAGTAAGTCTCTTCCTCTGCTCTCTGCTCTCCCTCACCTCCACAGCTTTTCTCCGCAGGATGAAGAAGTTCTCGGCTCTCATCATCATGAAGCGCATGAACTTGTGACACAGGATCTTTTCGATCTCATCAGCCTTCAATGGACCAGTTGAGGTGCATCATCCAATCACAGACCATTAAAGATATAAACAAATCATCAAACTGGATTCTTAGCCTGTTATAATATATAATAATATATAGTATGCATAGCTCATATAATGGCCTACACTTGTGGTTTTCAACACAAGCATAAAGAATAAGATCTTTTTTGTATTTCTGGTGTAATTATGACAAAACTGCTTTTTTTATTAACATAAATTGGAAGTATTGACACATTAATCAACCATGATTACATCTTGATTGTTTGTGCTTTTTAGTATTTTAATTTAGATATTTTTAAAATATCAATAATAATTTATTCACTTAAATCCTGTGGCCCTCATGGAAGTTTGCTGCGGCCCCCTAGTTAGGCCCCTGGTTGAGAACCACTGGCATGCTGCATTCAGTGGACTAAATGTGTTCATTTCAGTAAGTCATAGTGAAACCAACCTCCCTCGCTGGTCTCATCACCACCACCACCACCACAATACTTCTCTTTTTGTATAATTAGTTGCATTTTCAGTATTCAATATATATAAATATTTAAAGACTCTCAGATATCTCAGAAAGGACAGCAAGAATGAGTTTAGAGCAAAACAGCAAATGTACTTACCTGTTTGACAGCAATGCTGACTCGCACAGAGTTGATGGAACCTTCTATCAGAACCTTCTCTTTCTCATTCCTACTGATCACAACAGGCTGAAGCAAAAGCTCTTTACTGCTCCTGGTGAGATTAGAAGACAAAAATGTAAAGCACATGTGCTGTATACTGCAAACTTATGCTAGTATGCTCTTTCAAACTATCTATAACCTAATGGCTCATATCACACTTTAAGATGAGGTCATGTAGGCCACTCACCTATATGAACCATGTAACTTTTACACACAAATAAAACACATATGCAAACAACAGTCACATACACTTACCGGACTTCAACCTCAGGTTTGTTGTGTCTTTCAACCACCTGTGAGGAGAAGTTTTCCAAACAGAGAGCTGCCTGCAGTGTAGCACGCACCGCATTCAGGTACGGACGCAGAGTCGCCGTCTGACAAAACAAATCAAACTAAATCAGTACTCAGGAGGATGATGAACCATGTCTGCAACCTCACAGCAAGCAAGCACATCACAAATGGCTCACAACTTCTACTCTAATTGTTCCACACACACGCCTGAACCTGCAGGGGAATTCTTGGGATACTGTCCTCCTCCACAAACCCTCCGAAGAAAAAAGAAAAAAACTATGCTCTATTACTAAGTGACTCAGTCAACCTGCAAACACCATGAATCTCTTCATAGACAGCCTGAAGCCTGTCACTTCCTGAACTTACATGCAAGTCATGGAGGAAGTGCATACCCTTCTGCATGAAAAATTATACATTTTTAAAGCACTGACCCTGTGGGCTTCCTTGAAATTTGAAAGAGCTCACTGCATTGAACTAGACACTGAAACATACAGTTGTCTGTACACATAATTAATATTTCTAAGGCAAGTTAATATTGTTATGTTGCAAATGTTGTAATACTGAATAGCTGCGATGAGCACCTATATTACATGTACTTGTCATATTTCGACAAGAGGCAATGAACACAGGAGTAAACAGCAACCAGATCGATAGATGTGCACTTGTACAAGCGTTTATACAAAAATGTAACAATACTGAAGAATAGCAGAAGGAGAAAACACGGATATTTGAAAATAAAGAGCTGCATACTAACGATTTGCTCGCTGTTAATATACAGTATGAAATTAGATCAATTTGAGTTGGCTTGCCCATGATAAACAAACCCTAGATTACAAAGCGCTGGCAATGTTACAATATACTAAATGTGAAACGTCAAATAGTCTACCCGCGACTGGGGAATTGGGGTGGGGATGTTAGCTAACGTTAGTGATTTAGCACTACGTGCCTTCATTTCAATGCAGAAACAAACACCAGCAATCGGGGGTTTGCGACACGACGATGTTATTATTCATTTAATAAAACATGCTATATATACACAAAATAAAATGTGTCTTTTTTTCGGAGTGCTCAAATGAAATCTTACCATTTCTGTGTACCCGTTGGAGAAGACGGAAGTGCTACAAACACCGGGCGACTTCCTCGAATAACGCCACTCATCGGAACATACCAACATTTCACTAAATAGGGGTGACGAGTATATAATACTAACGGACATTTTTTTTGGGCTGCTGTTGAAATTATGCCTTTAAGTGCTTCATTAGCTGGCATTAGTCATGATGCATTATTGGTTTGACATTGAGATGCATTATTGGTTTGACATTGAGATGCATACCTTGAAAGCGCTGTAGTTTACAGTGATGCGAAATCATTGCTGTTGAACTCAAATTTCTCATGCAGTTCCACACAAATGAACAATAAGTAACGTGCTTACTTAGACATATTAAATAGACTTGTTTATATATATATATATATATATATATATATATATATATATATATATATATATATATATATATATATAAACAATTTGCCACAAGTTGCAGAAGAGGAAGCTCTGCCCAGGGTTAGTGGTGGCAGCACTAAAAACTTTTTTTATTTGTATACAGTACTCCTTTATCTTCATTGCATTATTACCCGCTAATAATTTTGGATCATATTCTTCATGAGGGTAAAAATATATATAAAATTACATTACAGAACTTTTCCCTTTTTATAAAATATTTTGCCCTGATGATTTCAAATGATGTTTGTATTCCCACTCTTTATACTGTTGACAGCAAAACTGCTCATGGTAATAAAATGAAATTGAATCATTAGAATCTCCGTATGTCTGTTGTCGCCATTTTCCATGCATCAAGAAGGTTGAAGTCATTTGTATTTTAAAAACAGAGGTTTATTTGGACGTATTTGCTTTTGCAGTCCAGAAACAATGCATATGCAGAGCAAATAAAACAAACAAAAACACTGTTCTAATGCTAACTTATATTTACAAAGCGTTTCTTGTCGTCTAGTTAATACCAAGTATCCTGTTTAGTACGTTTACATCAGACAAAAGCATGGCGTCTCACAGAAACTAAAGTGGGTGTCTCTAAGAAGCAGTTTCTAGAAAAACTGCATCAAAATCCCCAAATTAGCTACAGCAGCACACCTAAAATCAACAACAGCGATATTTTCAAATAGTCCAAAGGATTATTAAAAAAAAAACCTCCTCTTGCCAAAGAAGCTATACAAAAATATCAGAGAAAGTCTATTTTGTTTTCTTTGCCTTGGTTGCCTTCACCGCGACTTTAGGCTTTTTTGCGGCTGCTTTCTTCGGTTTGGCAGTCACCTTCTTCTTAACACCAGCCTTCTCCGTCGTCTTCTTTTTAACTGAGCTTTTTTTGGCGCTCTTCTTTGCACTCACTTTCTTGGTCACGGCTTTTTTGGACGCAGACTTAGCAGGCTTTTCCGTCTTCTTGGTCGCCTTGGCGGCACTTTTCTTTGGCTTTTTCTCAAATTTCTTTTTATTGAGCTTGAATGAGCCGTTGGCCCCCAGTCCCTTGACCTGCACGAGCGTGTCGTTGAGCAGGAGCGCGCGGATGGAATAGCGCAGATACATGCGACCGTTCTGCTGATCAAACCAGCTCACTTTCTTCGCTTCATTGTATATCTTGAAAAGCGATGAGCCGTTTTTCTCGCCCAGGGTTCGGATCGCATCAGTGACGAGCTGGCTGTACTTGCCAGGCCCCTTACTCTTCTTTTTCTTCTTCTTAGCTGGAGAAGCACTTACGACAGACTTTGCCTTATTTCCAGATACCTTCTTTGTTTTGGTTGCTACTGGAGTAGGGACTTGGGCGGGTGCTGATTCTTCGACCTCAGTAGACATGATCAAACTTAATGCGAAAATGTGTTGTTGTTGTTTTTCGAGAACGCGAGAATATCAGCTCAGAGACGCGAGCATTAGCAGCTACCTAGCTACTCAGAGTTTGAATCATCAGATTTAACTGCAATGCGCGGACGTGATTGAAAACAACAACACACTCGGCCGAGGCGCTTGTGGAGTTGTGTTTTCTTCCACGACTTTGTGAGCTATTATCTTGTTAATTTGACATACATTATGATTTTAAATGACTCATGATGGAATTGTAAAAGCTGCTCTTTCCGCGAGTGTGCACAATTCATTAAATAAACGCAAAACGTTGGCGCGAGAAAGCAGAGAAAAGATATTACCCACATAATGCCTTGCGATTTGGGGTAGGGGCACCTACTTAGCGAATGAAAAACTTTTTATGGATATGCAGTCAGTTCGTGCATTAAACTTGCTATGAAAATTTAGAAATTAAAGATTCTAGAATGATACTACACAGTCCGCGATTACAAAATGACTTCTAGATACAAGCAGTTTAAATTACCTCAACTAACACATTAAACGCCCTCGCGTGGCTGTGTATTGGCCAACTTTTTCTTTGCTATTCTCTTTCCTGGTGACTTTACATTGTAGGCTATTCTTCTGTGCCAATTTGTGAAACTGGATTTTTGCACAAATAAACACATGAAACGTAGTATATTTGATATGCTATTTTACTTAAGTCACCACACTTAATGTTTTCAAATGTTTATTATATTAAAGATGTTGCTAGTATTTTAATGTGTCTGACAACCAGTGCCGATCCTGACCTCCCTGGGGCCCTAAGCTAAATTCTGCTAAGGGGCCTCTACCTGACCCGTGAAGCCGTGAGCTATGTAAAACATTTGCCATTGCCACAGTCACACCTGACACTTCAGTTCTCCCAATACAATCCTCCCTCCTTTAAACCAAACAGTCAAAGAATAAGTACAATAATATAGAACAGAATGATATTTATTGAATAGAGTATTTTCTATAGAATATTAAGATAACAAGTGAATATTGTGTTGCAGATATCAATAATCCCCGTGAGTGATGACATCATTGAAATCAAGAATTAACTTTTGTACAAGTGAACATGTAATTCCTGATATCAGAAATAGACATTGGTAGATAAAAATGTAACTAAGGGGCCCTACTAGTAAAAAATAATCAAGAATTCACATTGCAAATAGTAAAAAAAAAAAATGAATTCTTGATATAAAAAATGCATAAACTGTGAATGAATAAAAGCTAAAATGGCTTGCCATATGTTAAAGGTTTGTTTTAGTATGCATGTTGAAGCAATTCTTGATTTATGGTTATTATTTACTGAGGGATGTGCATCCATATTGACCAGTATGTCCAGCTAATCAACATTTTAAATTCAATATAGCCTATAAATCAATAGTCAATCAATGTCAAATTGTCAATACATTGCTTTCCATCTTGCATAAGCAGTTGTTTAGAGTTTTTAACTACACATTGACTGAGACTAGATAATCAGTGTCTTGTTTTAAAAGTATGTATAATGTGTAATTTGATGAGGAGTGTCATCATTCAGGCCCAAATATTGTAGGCTACAGTATGTCTGGTCTCTCTCCACATATATTTCTGCTTGAAAAATGCGCGTTTCATTTCGTGCACGCGCATATGAACGTATGATAACACACGCGACGCGGTTATCTTTTCCGAGCCGTTGCACTTTAAAAAACACAATAGAAATGCACATAAACTTAACTTTACTTTGCTGACATCAAACTTGGAGAGGAGAGAACACAAGTTTACCTGATTGTTGTTTCCGCAATTCACTCATGTTTTTCCCCCCTCTTTTTGTGACCAGAAGGATAGTTTCGCTTCATTTTGTCATTGATGTTGTAAACATTAATTGACGCGCTATGACACGAGGGGGAGGCGGGGCCTTGAGTAATTTGCGGGGCCCTACGCAGCTTGCGTAGTGAGCGTATAGGGCGGATCGGCTCTGCTGACAACTAGGCTAAACTGTAAAACTTTCTAGGCATTTTGACAATCTGGACAAAGCTTGGTACGTTTAGGCTAAAGACTATGGCATGGGCCATATTGTTTAAAGCAATCAATCAATAAAAAAAAAAGAGTAAATTATAATAATTTAAAGTTTTGTTTGAAAGCGAGTCTAACAATGGGGCATTTTTCTCAATTTTGTGGGAACTCCGCCCCAGGTTTGGTATGAATTTGTCTTTTACTAACTTCAGGGGTCGCCACACTGTACATTTGTTTAGTCCTATAGCCAAAGGTTTGGTTAATATAAACAAAATCAAAGAAATATCTTTATAATTATTATTACATCTATAAATGGAATTCACTTATCTGGGATCTTATAAACAAAAATGTATATCATACATTTTATTTTCAAGCCTATGTAAGCAAAAATATGCAAGCAATATTAATCATTCTGGTAAATCCACATCAATGTGTTCTAAGATATAGGCCTATATATTCAGCTTCTTTGTTTAAACTACCTAAATTGGAGTAACTGTTCAAATGTCTTTAGATTATCTTATATATATATAAAAAGTTCTCAAATCCTAAAGTCACTTGTGTTCAATCGTTTTAAAAAGGTCTGTGATTTTGTTGTGTAGGTCAGAAATGGAGAAACTATTCTCTAAATTAACTAATGAAAACTATTTATTAATAATAACTACTAACTAATCAAGGTAAAAATTAATCAAAAGGCACATATAAGTATGCATTCTTTGTGGCCAACATATCAATTTGTGGGAGTTCGTTATTCTTGCAACACCACAGTTTACTAAAAACAGAACAAAAGAAAATACTTTCAATATTTTCCAAATCATTGGAAATCTCCTACATGCCATCATCACATACATTCAGCACTAGATGGCAGTCTATCTACTGATAATGGTTTGTGTTGTAATTGTATATAAGATGTTGACATCTTCCGAACTTTTGTGTATCACAGATAATAACAGGCCACAGACCTCTAAACTTCATAAAAATGTCTTACCTTGTTGCACTGCACCCCATTGAATTATATTCATCATAGTGACTTTTCACCTCTTCATTACCCACCCCAAAGAGTTGAACAAAAGCCATGCATTGACTGTAATATGTTAGCAGATTTACAGTTACACAATTGGTATAGCCACTTCCTGTTGCGCATATGCACACAAAGAGCAAACTCCTCTCAATAAAATAGGTCTAGCACCTTCCCCTTGCAGACAGAGGAAGGTTAAAGGTCAACATGTAGAGGATTGCAGAGGTCATCCTATTCAAAAGAGTTTTGTCCTTCCCTGCCCACGTATGTGTGTGTATATATATATATATATATATATATATTAGTGTGCAGCTGTCTGTCTTTTTTGAATAAGAGTGTTAAAAGAGGAATTCCAAGTTTTTATGATCCTTAACAAACTCAGTAAACTTTACACACACACCAAAACAGGACACACACAGTGAAGAGGCCGAGTTAAAACCTGATGAGGATGTGTATCTTTCTTTTAGAATGTGATTGAATGCGAGTGTGTATTTGTTGATTCTATATGGATTTGATGGGGAAAATTCATACGATTGATGGTGAGTGTTTGCACGTACATGTTTTGTAAAACGGATAGGTAAGAGTGCGTGTTTGTGTGTGTTTTAGGGGGTGGGTTTACCGGTGCATGTCAGACACCAAAGAAGAGCCTCAGTTATCTAGGAATCTGAGCCAAAAGAGCCTCACAAACAGAAGGGAGCGTGCAGGAGAGAAAGAGGGAGGGATAGAGGAGAGAAGATCAAATAAAAGAGAAAAACAGGAAAGGAGACTCTGACGAGCATACTGAGAAAGAAAGACAATGTGTAGGACTTGATAGTCTGCAGATGATACTGCTTATAACTTCAGATCTGAAGAGAGAAGAAAAGTCAGTGACACGGGAGCATTGCTAGGGAAAATCCCATTGAATTTAAGTAGTAGAAAGCAGTAGAAGAGATAGAGAAAAGGCGAGGGAACAGGTGTATACTATCTCTTTGGACTCCTGTCGCGGCCTGAGCAGCATGTATGTGCGTGTTGTGATCCTGTTTTTGCTGGGAGCGTACATGATGTGTGTATGTGTGCTGTGTCAGAGGGACATCCTGGTGGCCGGACCCCCCAACAGCAAATGTGAGGGAAGCTGCAGTGCAACAGCATCACCCCCTAAAATACATCACCCTCACCCTCAGGACGCACGACTCAGAAAGACTCCAGAGAACCGCAAAAACGCACAGGTAAGCATTACCTTATACCTATACGTAAACATGATCTCCGGTGAGAGATTTGAGAGGCCATTATTATATTTTTGGTAACACTTTACAGGGTCTCATTTAGTAATATTGGTTAATGCATTAGCTAAAATGAACTACCAATGAGCATTATATTTTTACAGCATTTATTAATCTTGCAGTTTTTATTGTTTTTTTTTCCCCATGTTAGTTCACAGTGCATTAACTAATATTAACAGATACAACTTTCGATTTTAAAAATGTACTAGTAAATGTTAAAATTAATATTAACCATTATCAAATGCTGTGGAAGTATTGCATTGCATTCATTGCGAGTTCATGTTAACTAATTATCTAATGATAACAAATTAAACTCTGATGTAAAGTGTTTCTTATATTTTGCATTTAAATAGTTTTTTTTCTAATATTTATTCATATTTGTTGTTTTTTCTATTATTAAAAAAATATGAGTTTTGTCAGTGTGTTGTGGGGTAAATATATATAAGGATATGCAATCCATTCCTTTTCAGTAATCGCCCTAAATACTTTGCATTTAAGACAGCTATATAAATAAGTTGATAAATTATGAAGCATTACCACAACAAATAATAATTTCACTCAGTGTCTTGGAGTCCCCAAATATTAAACATTTTAATAGTCACCGTGTTTATTTACCCCCCCCAAAAAAAAAAAAGCATTTGTGTCATTTTGGTCAATGTCAGAAAATATTTCATGAATTAGAAAACAAGCATGAGATAACATTAACTACTCTATACTATTATCTATGTTGATATTGACACTTAAAGATAAAGTGTTAGGATATGGAGACTTCATATACACTGTTAAATATTATGACTGAGATTAAAGATACACGTACTTGTTTTTAATTGTCTGTGTATGTGTGTATATGCCCTGCAGGTGTCTGATACATCTGAGCGTCTCATCCAGCTGCAGCGCTGTATGCTACAACATGAATCAGTGGCTGTGAGTCAAGGAGATGGGTCTGACTCACTAGTAGCCTTTCTGGCTCTTATGGCAGCAGTGCTGACAGAATGTGACCTCCACTGCCATAGTCAGAGACTCAGACAGATGGCCACCAGACTTGGTTATTATATTCCACAACATATGCCACTCACATCCACCTAAACCCTTACAGTTCCTTCTTAAATGATAGGACTAGCTTAAATAAAGCACATTAATGTGTGCTTCCAATATGTTTTATGAACTATAACCACTCTCTTTTTTTTCATTATTTATTGATTCTTTCATTCCTGGAGTTCTCTCAATTAAGTTAACACCCAATTTACACTCAGCAAACAGAAGTGTTCTTAGGAATGTGAGAAAACTGACCCTTGACAGCCTCTATTTGACCCTCTCACAACCTTTCTCTAACCTTTGTATAACCCCACAACAAACTCTATATAACCATCCGGAAATAGTCAACTAGCAACTAATCGATTAAATAATAATATATTCTTTAAATACTTTAAAAGTATGTAAATCATATTGCTTTGCATTTGATGGTTAAAGGAAATTACAGAGGGAGTTTTAAATCTTACATTTATTTTTAGGAAGTTGAATGTCCTACAGGGGCATTGGAAAAATAACCATCAGGAATAATCATCATAATTGTGTGTTCTAACTGAGTTTTATGCTAGAATTTATTTTATAATATTTTTTTTTTGTCTAAGGGACACTCTCTCTCTCTCTTTCTCGATCATAGAAAGTGTAGTGGGCAGAAATGGGGAGAAAGATTTGCTGCTGTTGCTGAAAAGTATCACACATTCTAAACCTAATGGCCTCCGACCAAGGACTCCTACAGGTGAGCTATACACAGACAGACATCCTATGTTGTCCAGCATACTACTAGAACATTTATTGCACAAATGTTGACAGATGTTTTGTTTGGGCCTGTATGGCAGTGCCTCCCTCTGCAGGGCTTTACCCTCAAGACTGTCATGAGATCTACCAATTAGGAATTAAAGAGAACGGGATCTACACCATACAGCCAGATCCAAAGCGACCAGCATTAGAGGTACAAACATTAAAGTCTGCAGAAACCCAAATACATTTATATCACATTACATCTATTCCACTTATATATTTTGAAATCTAATCCATGTCCAGTGTGAAGTAAAGGGATAGTTCACCCCAAAATAAAAATTTTAAATTTACAAACCTTTTTGCGGAACACAAAATAAGATATTTTGAAGATCACTGGGGTACGAAAAACATTGGACAGCATTCCTATAAGTGTTCATTTGTAATAATTTGTAAAGTGTAATACTTTTGAGGGGCAGCACTACATGTGTGATTTCTTTTTCATTTGTCGTTTCCAGGCTGTGTGTGACATGGTTTCAGCTGGTGGGGGATGGACAGTGTTCCAGCGGCGGTTTGATGGACAAATTGACTTTAACCGAACCTGGCAGGAGTACCATGACGGATTTGGCTCCCCGCAGACAGAGCACTGGTTAGGGAATGCAGTTCTGTCCGTGTTAACCGCAAGTGGGCATCACACGCTCCGCATCACTCTCCAAGACTGGCACGAACAGACACGTCATGCTAACTATAACACCTTTAAAGTGGCAGGAGAAAACCAGAGGTAGGCCTATATGCACATTGCACACACAGACATAGATATCTAAAAATCTAGTGTCAAAACATCAAAAAGATGGAAATCAATTCAATTTCTTATAATGATGCATTTGTGATATTCTCTCCATAAGGTTCCGCCTAACTGCTCGAGATTACCATGGTGATGCTGGCAATGCATTCAGTTATAGCAAACAGTACAATCACGATGGCAGAGCTTTCAGTACATATGACCAGGATAATGACCGCTACACTGCTGGTAACTGTGCCGGTTACTATGGTGCAGGATGGTGGTTTGATTCCTGTTTGGCCGCTAACCTCAATGGACGCTACTACCACGGGCGTTACAGCGGCATCACGGATGGCATCTACTGGGGCACCTGGTATATCCTGACTGACTATCGCACAGGGGAAAGATACTCATTTAAGAGTGTTGAAATGAAAATGAGACCTAGGCGGAGCTAAGAATTTCTCTTTTTTTTAAATGAGATGTTGACATGTAATCATACTCCTGCACTGTGTTTTCCCTTTCAATAAATAATTCCTTTCAAATATTTCCTTTCCTTTGCAGTTTTATAACCTGGACCTGTCAATATATTGAGATATTTAGATATCCAAACACGTTTATAAACATTTATTTTAAAATAACTATAAAATCCCAAATTTAAAGCAGTCTCCTTTTCTCAGTGTATTATCAATTTTCAGTTACTGCTGCACTATCACATGCTATTCATGCAGCAAATACAGAAATTGATTTGAATTTGAATTAAAACATGATCTTTATTAAAAGTTGGCATGAAATGAAAATCTATTTTCTAAATGCAAGTTATTGATCTTATTGTGTTCTTATTTAGTCTGCTTAGTCTCCTTTCTTACAATCAACTGCAAGCTTGCATTCAGCCGATCTGCCTTCATCCAACCAACAACCGATGGACCCACAGTTCCTCCAAATTTTTCTGTTGTCAAATACCATATACTTTTCGGGAACACTTAATTACGATAGTCTACTTTGTACTTTCTACTATAAGTAACTTTGCAGCTACATGTCAAATACCTGTCATTAGAGTATTAGTAGACTGTCTGCTTAATATCTGCCAACACTTTATTTTGATGGTCCCCCAACAGATATTCTACAAACCCTAACCTAGCAGTCTACTAATACTCTAATGAGAGTTGGCTGATAGTTGCAAAGTTACAGCTGGTAGGATGTCTAAAGTGGAATATCGAAATCAAGTGTAACCTAATTGTCCATTGTCCCAGTCAGCCGATTTGCCACTGCTCCAGTTTCATGTCAACAACAGTTTATTTTACGATAATGACCGGCTGACTGTATATTATCTTTGTAGCTAAAATCATTCACAATGCAGAGAGGTCAAAGTTCAAAGGGTTTAAAGTGACCCTTGTGATTGTGCTGCACTTATAAAATTAAATCTAAAATTATGCACAGCAATGTTTCCACTTCTCAACTGAAATGAATGCAAGCAGCAAACCAGCATGAATGGGTATCAAATGGCTTTTTTATGTTTTATATGCTCAGCTCATTTCTACCCGTAAATGTTCTCTGTTCAGTCTCCAGATGAATGACTGCCATACCAAAACTATCCTGCCACTGACACGTTCAAAGCCATAAATCCTTATTACATATTCCACTAAAAGGGATAACAGTAAAGTGTGGACGCATTGGGTTTGGGGGCAAAACAAATGTAAAGGGTTTCTTGTAAGCCACTGCGGTCAGAGTGTTGAGAGTGCGATGGCATCATAATGTAGACAAATAAACTCACATGCACATGGCATTAACAAAACAGCCGAAATAACAGAAAGTGTGTGTGTTACAGAGGGCGAACAGGGGGAGTGGGAATCTGTTGAATCTGCCTCTTTTAGCCGTATTCACAAAGAGATGCCAGTCTGTTCAACACGCTCTCAGTATCTATGAATACCTTTTTGCCTATGATCTGCTGACTACCAACCAGATATGATATTTCACATACACTCACTAACATACACATTCAAACACACAAAGTCATGCTGTAGTTGTAGTACATTGCAGTTTAAAGACTGTTTCTATGGAAGCCCATTTAGCCACATTAGAAAAAAAATCATGCTTTTGTATATCTTAATTATAAGATAAAAATTATGACAGTCCTAATTATGACATAGAAAGTCATAATTTCAATATTATTATTGTCATAATTTTTACTTTTTATATCACAATTCTAACTTAGTAAGCCATGTCATATTTTTTTTGCCATAATACATGTCATGATTGACATTAAATGAATTACTGACAGCGTATTGAATTATGATTGATTGAATTATTAATTACTGTTGTAATTATGACTATTTATGTCATAATTATGACTTTTCATCTCATAAATTTGACTTAGGTCATAATTTGTAACGTATAGGGATCCACTGGAGGCAAGCTTATTTAGAACCCAAGTGCAGTTTCTTACAAAGATCAAACATGAAACAAAAACATGGCGTAGCATAAAACTCAAAATGAAGACATGCACATAGACTTACAACCAGTGGTCTACAAGAAACAATACTTGACAACGACACATGGCAAACATGAGGGCTTTAATACACAGACTAATTACAAGACAAGGGACACCTGTGAACAATGATCAGACAATTAACCAATGACAAGACACATGGCAGGATCACATGACAAACAGAGAATCACATGACAAGACACAGAAACATGACAATGACAAAACCAAAATGTGACATAATTTCAACTTTTCATGTCATAGTTATGATTTACTAAAGCATGATTATTTTCTTGTGTGGCGGAAATGGGTAGTTTTCATCCATTAAGTGGCATGAGTTTTGTCAGGCCTGTGTCTACTAGAAGACAGAGATCATGGGACATCGGGACATCAGAAAATCATTTTGCACAGGGGTTTGGTGATAGTTTCGCTTTTACGGTCAGTCTTTATAACACAAACTAGAAATACAGCTTTATATTTACATTTTAAGTGTGTGTAAGAACCACGGGGATTTGACGTTCACCTACAAATGCAGACAATCTCACAAGTGAATGGCATTGGTACAGGCCTCTCATTTATGGATATTCGGCCCATCATTTGTCACCTTGTTTGTCTGGCTGGTAAATGAACCAGTCGGATCAAAATCAGAACAAATAAACATAGTTACTGTCAATGAAAGCTTCTCTGCTCTTCTCGTTTTGACCATTAAGATCACTATGGTGAAGCAGAAGCCAGATCGGCTGTTACCACAGTATCCTGGCTGAGAGCCTGGCTGGTATGATAAGGAGATAAAAGGAGTGATGGAGAGAGAGATAAAGGGAGAGGGAGAGGGGGAACTGACAGTCTGCAGGCACCCAGTCCGGAAACCCAAAGCGGGCAACAGTTACCCAGCACATCCCCTTAAAGCTGAAAACACTCATGCACGCATACACTCATGCACGCATACACTTAATCTCTTACCACACATTTTTGCATTCTGCAGTGGAGAAAAGCTTGTGTGCATTTGTCCCCAAGGAGCTTTCAATATCTAGAAATTTGTTTCAGAAGCAGACTTTGCAAAAGTTGAAAAGGTACTTAATATGATGCAATCTTTGATATATTAATTGTTTTATATCTAAATAAGATAATACATATCTATATTTGTAATTATTTATGCTAATCAGGCAGGTAAATTAAAAAATAGGGCCTGAAGTCGCTAAGCATGTTCTCTTAGTGCAAAGTGCCATAATTCTGAATGCAGAGAATGGCCAGAAGATGGCAGCTTTGAGTTAAAAATGACCAAAATCTGACCACCAGCACTTTTTATTTGATTGAAGCATGGTAAAGGTGCTTAGTGCCATCTCAGCAGATTCTTAATAGAGATCCATTATGGCTTAACATAATAACGACCGGGGAACAACCATTGAGGTTCACTCAATTCACATTATTCACTCTGTCTCCTCTCCACCAGTAAGCTGGTGTGTGGTGGGCGTTCTGGCGCAATATGGCTGCCGTCGCATCATCCAGGTGGATGCTGCACATTGGTGGTGGTTGAGGAGATCCCCCCTTCCATATGTAAAGCGCCTTAGAAAAGCGTTATAAATGTAAGATTTGAGTCGCTCTTGTCCCCATCGCTCACTAAAATACTTTTTGTTTAGCTTAATTATGTTTCTTATGTCCTACTGCCATTCATTTACACAATCAAAACATACTGATACAGTTGTTTAATATGGCACTATGTTAACAGATAGCAGTTACTTTCGTCATGATCTTGCGAACTGTCACTTTTAAATCTTTAGAAATCAGTGAGACACATTCTCTGATTTAATGGTATATCACAGATTCCATAAAATGTCAGAATAAAGTTGCAAAGTGACTTTTGAAATATCTTAGAATGCAATGCTTATGAACATGATTTGAACAGGAACTCAATGCTAGGACTTCCTAACCATTAATAAAAAGATGCTTAAATCTAGCTTTGGCTAATTCACCTTCAATGGGCCTTCAGGAAGAACTGATACTTTGCTGGCATACACACCATCTTTAAACAATTTCACACATGAATACATACTTAGATTTGTAAGATGTAAGTATGCTCATTTCAAATGTGTCCTGACTGAAATCTGAAGCATCTGCTCTGTTATGTGTGATGTTGCTCTAGTAATTGCCTGCGCAATGTGTGTTTGACATGAAATTAATTGGTTGCATTGGGAGTGGCTGCACTTAACGAATGTAACACGTGACGTGAGCAAAAGCAAGTGTCCGTTACAGCACCTGTCCATCTGTCTGAAGAGGGATGTGCATGTGTATGACACACACATTGCGGTGCACCAGCGCTCCGTTTCATACCGGAATTCAGGCAGCAGCCCTGTATCCTGATGTGGTGAAAACCAGGCCTGCAAGGCATTCTGGGTATGGGAGGGGGAGAGGGTTATTCACACTATAACATCTTGACACACATTCACAAACAAGTGCACAAAATTTACACACACACACACACACACACACACTGAAAGTTTTTATGATTTCCACAGAAAAGACACCTGTATGCTTTCAGATATCAATAATTCAAAATCATGTCTGAAATAGTAAATAATTATAATAGAAGAACGTCTTGATTTCATAATCAAAGCCCTTAAAAAGCTGTAATTTGATTATATGCTTAACTGTGGTTTCATAAAAGACTGACAGCATATTTGGTGTGTCATGTAATCAATATCTAATCTAACATATATCCAATCTAATATCAATAATATTTATTTACAGAACAAAAAAGTATTAACAATACAATTTGTGCAAAACAAAAACAAGGAATTGACAAAGATCTAACTTGGCACTCATAATCTCAGTGAAAGTAAAATGATGACTAGAAATAACTGTTAATGTTCATATATTATGGGTAGTTTAATATTCCCTTCTAATAAAAGGAAAATATGATTGGCAGGTTGTTACTGCAGTAGGCTGTTAATACTCCCTTCCTTATTCTCTTTTGCGGAGGAAATGAAAAGGCAATTAAGGGATCATGGGCTACATTGTTGAGCTCACTCAACA